AAGAATAAACACGCAGGGTCCTCACAGTCATCCCTGACGTAGGTGTCCTTGTGTGCGTTTCACAGACGAGGAAGCTGAGACTGCAAACGTGTGATTAGGTGGTCAAGGTTACCCAGATGCTTAGTGGTGGAGCCAGGATAACGGGCTCTAGTATCCGGTATGTGAGAGGGGACACAGGGAAATACCGGAGACATGAAGGGAAGAATAACAACTGTAGGGCAGGGTAGGTCCTTATGGGGAAAACTAGAGCATTAGGCACGGACAGTGACTGTCAGAGGACGGGGAGGGATGGAGACATAAAGGATGAGGAAGATATAAGGGAAGCGTGAGCGCAACTTAAGGAGATGGTGACAGGAGGCGTGCGAAGGTGACACGGGGGTATGATGACAATTTATGAGAAGGACTTCGTAAAGGAGTAATAGCAACAAAAGAGGGGTGCAGGCGATATGAGAAGGCGACACGACTTAAAGGGGGGTAACTGCGACATTTGGTGGCCATGGGGACTTAAAGGAACGAAATCTTGTTAAGGGGGTTGACGGCGACCTAAGGAGGGTGATGGCGACATAAGGGGAGTGGTAACGATTTAAGCGGGATGCAACATAAGGGGAGGAATGGGGACATAAAGGGACAGAGGACGATATAAGAGGAGAGATGCATTATATTCGAAGGACGACACGAGGAGGGCAGCCGAGACGCCGCGCCCCCAGATCGCATATTACCTGCACTCCACGTCTCCCACTCCTGGACTCAGCCCCTCACGCACCTTCTAGGCTGGAGCCCCGCCCGACCGCCCCCGCTGCGCGCAGGCGCACTCCAGCTAGACTGCGGGCCGGCGGGGGCCAGGCAATTGCCTTTCTCATTGGCCGCGCTCCCCGCTAGAGTCGGGAGGGGGAAGCGCCTGGGAGAGTACGGGTGGTCACGTGACGGTTGCCGCTGTGCTCTCGCTGGTGGCTACCCGGAGGGCTAGAGCGGCCGCGGGCCGGTAAGTCTGGCTTCCGGCGGCGAGGACGGAGCTTCCGGGGCGGGCAGCCGGGCCGAAGGAGGAGGGTCTGACAATTGGCGCCGCCGGGTGGGAGGGCGGGCGGCGCGAGTGGGCGCGGGCCCAGAGGGCCAGGTGAGGCGCGGGCCGTGGGTGGTGGGGCTGGGTTGGATGAGGTGGGGATGAATGGCGCCCGGGGCTCCGGACTCAGTCCTGGCGCCGCTGTGCGACTCGGCTCTTGACAAGCTACTTCTTTCTCTGAACCTCAGTTTCCTCCTCTGTAGAATGGGGATCAGAATCTGGCTATGGCATCCTCTTTATGGGTTGGAGTGAGAATTCAGCTCGTGCATGTCGGAGCCCCTAGCTCAGCGTCTGGCACACTGCTCACTTGGTTGCTATACTGTTATTGTTTGTATTGTTGATGATGTTTGTACTTGGTGTGGAAGAGCTGGGTGTGGGAGCGTGGAATTGGGAGCCAACAGATCTCGGTTCAAGTCCTAGCTACACTGTGTGGTAGTGGAACTGTGCCTTCACCTGTCTGAACCTCGTTTTCCTCGTCTATACAACAAAGGCTGTTAGCCCCAATATCATAGAGTCATTGTGAGGATGCTGATGAAATGTGCGTGTAAACTCCTTAGCATAGGACCTGACAGTATAGAGCAGGAGCTCAGTAGATTGGGACTATAATAAAAATGATTCTGAGAGTCATTGGTGTAGATGGGACTTGCAAGGAAGAGAGGAGGAAGGAAGCTCAGAGACGGCGATAGGAAAAACTTGGAATCTGGAGCTGGGCAAATCGACATCCCGCCACTTACTATTTGATAAATTTTGCCAAATCCCTTAGTATTACGTTTTCCTTTTTCTTTAAAACTGATGCATTTTCCTCCAGTCAGTTCATTTGAGAAAGAAAATTTGTATTGCTCTGTTAATGGAAAACTAGCATTTTGGCCGTGAGAAAGAAGGAAAACTTAACCTGAACTCCAGTGGAAGCAGAACGGTCTTATTAAATTGTAGACAGAAACTGAAAGAATTGAAAAGGGGATAACTTGTACTATTGTGGTTCTATGTTGTCAGATTCCATGGACCCTGTTAAGTTATACTCTGTTCTCAGCTCACACTTTGCATATGACTGACATCAGCTTAGTGACTGTCCTGCCCTTTTCCTGACTCACTTAAGATTTATTTAATGCACATGTACAAAACCTACTGAACATTGTTCTAAGGGCTTGGCGTTTATAAACTCTTTTAACCCTGCTAAGCACTTTAAGAATAGATATGCTTATCCTTTTTTTTTTAAATTAAAGTATAGTTGATGTACAATAACTCCTATCGTTCTTATTTTATAGTTCAAGGGAGTGAGATCCAGAAAGGTTAAGCCACTTGCCCCAGAGTCAGGGTTAGGAAGTGGTAAAATCGAGATTTGGAGCCAAGCCTTCTAAGGGCTTAGGATGAGGAGTCTGGTGCATGGTGATTACTTGAATTGGGGGAGCTGTCATTTTTCTGTTATTGATAATGTTATATAATCTTCAGTGCTGGAGATGGGCTTTTGGTGGTGGAGAGAGGACACTTGAGTCCAGCAGGGAATTCTGCAGTTATAGTGGGAGGATACCAGTACTTAGAGCCTCTTAGTAAGCGTTAACTGAAACTTTGCAAAGACAGACAGAACACAGTGCCTGGCTCATAGTAATCCCTTGACCAGTGTTAATCATAGCCACTGACTGACTTGGGTTCAAACCCTGGCCCTGTAGTTACTTGCTGTGTGACCTCGGACCTGCCACTCTAATCTGTAACTTGGAGTTAATTTTAATTTTTACCGCGGGTGATTGTGAGGAGTCACTGAGATGTGAACATATTCAGTGCCTGGCACGTAAACATTCAGCAGGAGCTACTGCATGGGCATTGGAATCAGGGAGAACTTGTTTTTGAGTCCTAGTAAAGTGCTTGCTAGATGTGGCATTTGGCAAATGACTGCACCACAATGAGTTGGTTTTTTCATTGATTAAAATGGGGCTAATTATAGTCCTCACTCATGAGGAGGTTGTGAGGCATCAGTGTGATGCCTGGCGTTGGTCCTGGTGCATAGTTAGTGCTTGGTATGTGAAATGCGGTTGTTCTGTCTGACTCGCTGAAGCCTCTCCATGCCTTTTGCTCTTTGAGAGATGTTGGTTATATTGTCTTTGTCCAGTGGTAAAATCCCAAAGGGAAAAGGGATCTTAGGAGCCGAGTACAGGGTGAAGTGATGTCCGTGGTCATGTTCATCATCCTACTTGGGAGTAGAGGAGAGAGCCTCACATCTGGGGACTTTGGGAAGGCTTCACAAAGCAGGTGGCAGCCAAGCAGAGTGATGGAGAGATTGTCAGGAGGACAGGAGGAGCAAGCATTCCAGGCACAGGTGACATTCTGTGTGAAAAGTGGGTGGCAGGCAAAGCACTTGGGTGTTAGAGGGAAAGCTGGGGTGGGAGGCTGGAGGAATAAGAAGAACCAGCACTTCTAGAGTAGGTACTTAGTATACACCAGGCACTCTTGAGCGCTTTGTACATAGAAACTCATCTAGCCCCACAGCAGTCCTCTAAGGCAAGTAATGTTTGTACCATCCCGGTTTACAGATGGGGACACTGAAGCCCGACTGGTGAAGTCCCTTGCCAAGGTCACACAGCTAGTAAGTGGTAGAGCCAGATTTGAATCCTGCAAGTCTGGTTCCAGAGTCCTTACTCTTGTACTGTCTCTGTGATACCATCAAAATTGGGGTCGGGGGGGAACGGGCAGATTGTACGTGATGGTAAACAGAAAGGTGCTGGACAGTGGGCCTTCTGCCCCCTGTAGGGGAGGCGGAGGCGGGTTGGGTGAAAAGGATCAGAACTGGGGGCTGGAGTGGGTGGAGGGGAGCAACGTGAGGGGAGAGGGCAGGGACTGAGAAGAGGAGGCGGGCCAGGTGGGAGGTTTGGGCCGGGGCAGCATGGGACAGGCGGTCCTGGAGTCAGATAGTAGCGAAGCATCAGGTGAGGAAGTGATTTCTGTTAGTTCTCTTTCAACACTGCTGTTCATGTGCAGGAGGGAGTCTCCGTTGGGGCTAATATGTCTTTAACACCTTTCTGGTACCTGCTGACCTTACCCAAGCGAAAACTGGTTTTCCATTTCTGCTCTGGGACCCCTCCTGACTGGTGCCCCACCTCTCTGCCCTGGCCGCTCTCACTTGCCTCCTTGCTCCCTCCCCTGTTCCTGCTGCCCCATGGACATGCCAGATGGGCTCCTGGCTCAGGGCACTGGACTTGCTGTTCCTTCTTCTGGAACACTCTTCCTCTGTAAAACTGCATGGCTCTCCCCTCCACCTCCTTTAGGCCTCTACGTGTCACTTTAGAGAGCTCTTCTCTGACCACCCATTTAGAATTGCAAGCCCTCCCTTCCCGGGCCCTCTGCGTTTTCTCCATAAGGCTAAATCCTTTCTGACACGTGATATTGTCAACTGGTTTGCTTGTTTACTCTCTGTCTCCCTGTTTCCCGTGTCCCCACCTAGATGCCAAGCTCTGGAGTTTGTTTTTTGCTGCGCTTTGCGGCATGTGGGATCTTAGTTCCCCGACCAGGGATCGAACCTGTGCCCCCTGCAGTGGAAGTGCGGAATCTTAACCACTGGACCGCCAGGGAAGTCCTCAAGCTCTGGTTTTTGTTAACCTCAGTATTCCTGGCTCCTAGAACAGTGCCTCACACACAGTAGGTTCTCAGGAAAGAGTTTTTGAATGGGTGAATGAATGGGTATTTATGGTTAAGGTCTTGGACAGGGGGTGTCTTTTTTTCTGTCCCTCTCTTATTCCAGCCAGAAACTTGTGAGGTGTGTGGGAATGGAGATGTGGACATTTGCTGCCCCTGGGCCTTATCTGAGGCAGGAATGATAGTTGTGGTGACAGCTCTGCCCCAGGCTGACTTCCTGCCAGCTGTTCCAGGCTATTCCTGGGCTGTGAGCCCCCAGCCCAGGAACTCTCCTCTGGCAGGCAGACAGGCAGCCAGAGAGGGACGGACACTTAGCCGGCGGCGACTCATGGGTGCTCTCCCCTTGTTCTCTCTTGCAGGCTCCAGGGAGCAGGGTGAAGGTGAGGGAGACAATGGTCTCTGTAACTATGGGTAAGTCTTCTCTCTGGGGCCCCCTCTCCCCTCTGCCCTTTCTGAGGTATGACCTTGGTGTGGGGGGGGGGGCAGGCTGGGGGGGGGGGGGCTGGGCACTGGCAGGGGGCACCGGGG